TGTAAAGACTATATTAATGTTAACCCACAGAGGGGGATGCAATGGCGAAGTTTTATTGGCAAGAGTTTTGGAGTCTACTCGCTTAAAGTTTGAGTGACCAACGGAAAGACTTCTCTTGATGAACGCATAGTAACGCTGATTATCAGTGGGTGAGAGTTTCACTCTATAAGCAACGTCATGTCCACTGGAAGTTAAGTTAATTGGTTTTACTGAATAAAATAAACTGGTTAGACAGTCGTGGAAAAATTGGTGTCAAAATACCTCGATTTGGCAAAGAAGACTTTTCTGATAAGGTCTCTAAAGGGAGGAGCTCATCAAGATTGACTTGTGGCTTGGCCACAGGCGTTCCAATAATGGGTAAAAGAAAGCAGTTGAATAAAAACGAATGCAAACAAACTTTACTGTACATAGTGAATGAACAAACAACCACAAGATTTAGACAAAAGCAGTGTCATCAGCGAGCATTTGTACAAGTTGTGATTGTGCTGGTTAGAGAGACAGTTATCAATGAGATGACCATAGAAGAGGCAGTGCATTCTCGGGCAAAGTGAATGCCTCAAGTACAGCACTTGTTTGTGTCTGGTTGTTTGTGCTGCGTCGGGTGGTGAAGGTTGGCCAGACTGGTGAACGCACTGGCAGCTCAACTGAACTTAATAGCACAACTGTGGTGCAAGACCACCACCACCACCACCAGGCACGGGATGGTCTTGAGCAGTGACGATGCACCTTTGAGTAAAAAAGTGCAGATAAATGATGATACATTGCTGGTAATGTATTAATAAACTGGTAGAGAGATTGTAATTAGGATGTAATGCTGGGCGAGACGAAACAACGGTCGTTTGCGAGCAAGGCCACACTGGCGGCCTTTTTGAGCTGGCGGCACTGTTGGAAGATGGAGAGACAGTGCAGATGGTGACTGTCTCCTCTGAGGGGCCATTGCCTCTGGACTCCGCTAACAGCACTTCCTGTTGCAGCAACTGCAGTAGCACTGCTGGAAGCATCGACTGCAGCGAAGAATGCAAAAGTTACAGCACTCACATTCCAGCGGATCACAGGCACAGCACAAGCCAAAGGGCATGCAGAGCCAGGCGCAGCATCGGGAGCCCATTGAGGCGGGCTTCTTCACCACTGTCCCCGTTGAGGTAGTCGACTGGTTGGCCCAGGAGGATTCAGGGTGATCGGCAGCAACGGCAGCAGCAACTGGTATCGGCGTAGAGGTGGCAATGGGATGCTTCAAAATGGACTTCCCAGGTTGGGTGGTGATGGTGACGTTGCTCAACTCATGTTTTGTGCTTTTGTTCTTCTTTCCTTTTGAATCATCAGCACCTTTTTCAGCATTCTTTACTTTTGCTTTTTCGTTTTTCTTTTTATCAGCTTCTTTGTGATTTTTGTTGACATCAAGGTTCGCTTTAGTGGTTGCATTATTCTTTGAATCTTTTTGTTTGCTGTTTTTCTTAGAATTCTTTAAATCTTCTTTTAGTTTTTTCGGTTTGGACTCGACAACTTTAACCTCATACTGATTTTGAGACTTTTTATTTTTGCTTGCACTAGTCTCTTCTGCCACATCTCTCACAATGACTGATTCAGCATCGGAGGTATCNTCTTTAAATCTTCTTTTAGTTTTTTCGGTTTGGACTCGACAACTTTAACCTCATACTGATTTTGAGACTTTTTATTTTTGCTTGCACTAGTCTCTTCTGCCACATCTCTCACAATGACTGATTCAGCATCGGAGGTATCGCTGGGGTCATATCTGACAACGACAGGTTTTGTTTTATTCTTTGATTTGCTGCTCTCAATTTCAATTGGAATGATTCTCTCTTTCGGCGAGGTAGCTCCCTTGTTTCGGGATGCAGAAGGCATCGTTGTGGCGGAGCGGTTGACCGTGTCCTAGATCTCGAGTGACTAGTGAGAGTGACGGTGATTAGTGATGCAGAGACATAGATTAGCAGGAGATGTACACTTACCTGCTCCAAATGAAGCACATCAAGAAAGGAACATCAACACTAATTTGATGTGGTCGCGATAGTGTAAAGACAGCAAGTGAAACTAATTGGCAAATCAGGAGGTGTCAACAGGTTAGAGCTGCAGTAGCCGAAACTTGCGTCGAATTTGCACGAGGCAAAAGTGTTTTCCTTCCTATTCAAATTGGCCAAGGTTTAGCTTTGTATTTGCATTGCCACTAGTACGCTTCCATTCACAGTTGGCAGATGAGATGAGTTGCAGGCAATCAATATCGAAGAAGAGAATGACTGCCACTACCACCGGTGACAATTAGCCCAGTCGAGATGCCCACATTGCATACAAACCACACACTCTGCTCATCTGCTTGCCTGAACACTTTCAGTGTCAGTCAGTCTACTGGCCAGTCCTCTGCTGACCATATTTGGGTGTCTCCAACTCAAGTGACAGTCGTCCTATTGACGCTATATTTAGTGCAACAGTGCTGAAGAAGCCCACGCACTTACCTTGCCGTTTCCGAGTATTGCCAAACACCTGTGTATGTGTTTGTGAGTTTGTAGCGGCAGTCAAAAGAAGCAAATGCAACAAACATCATTTTGGTTTTAGTCAGAAGCAAGAAGTATGTGTGTGTGTGTGTTCGATTACATTTGCGTTTTAGCAGAGGATGCCGTTGTTGGTTTTGTAAAGAATATAGCACTGGGCTGAGGAATGCCACTACCACTGCCAGGGACTTTGATGACTATAGTGTGTGCCTATCAGTGAGAACCGCTGATCTTATCTGGTATAGCATCAACACAAATTTATTAAAATAAAAAATTAGCTAACAAGGGAGAAATTGCTTGCGACTACTGTACAGAATAGTAAATACACAGAGCTAGGAGACCATTTACTGACCTGCTGTGTCGACGAAACTAAGCTTACGAGTTTGAAGCCTTCTTATTCAGACTGGTTTGATCGCCAACGTTGAGATTTTCTTCAAAGTCAATTCGAATTGAGTGGTGATCTGGTAGAGGTTTGCTCCACAGTGTCTCGCGCAGTGGTTTCGGCCGCCGCTTACCATCCGGATATGGATTGGGACAGTTAAGTGGTAATTTGTCTGGAGAAATGCGCGGCCACTTTGGATTGTCCAAATCGGCATTGTTATTGTGAGGCAGGATGGCCGAAGCTGGTCTAAGACCTCTCCACCGACCTAGCAAAGCTCGCTTCTTGAGTAGTGTAGACTTGTACCAATCAGGATGTTCTTTTGAAATGGGGTGAATGTGCGGAAGCTTAGGCTTTCCATCCCATCCACTGAACATTTTTGCAGGCTCATAAGACTCAATGGGGTTTATCGACTTTAGACGTTCCAAAAGCACCTCTTTGGAAATCTCTTTCGGATCACGGTAATGGTCCAAGTACCTACAAATAAAAAAGCATTAAGCGTAAGAAAAGAATAAAAACACAATGCAATTATTACAAGTTGAATGGAGCACGGCCAGGAAACTGAATCTGCTTAAACTCCGAAATTTGAGACGGGTAGATGTACTCATAAGTAGGTGAACGCATATCTGAAATGTAAGTATATAAACGTAAAAAAATTAAAGTGAAAAACAAAAAGCCAACTTACCTAGGTAGTTGTAAAATACATCTCGGCAAGACTCATTCCAGGTAGTTTGGAACCAGGATAGGCCAACTGGTTTCATTTGAAGGTCTTTGTCTTGATTAGTAAAAGTATTCATAAACTGATAGCCGTTGAACTTTCGTTTAGTCAGGTCAAAGTCATCAACTTTTTCTAGTCCAGTGATGGCTTTATTGTGCCGGAAAAGCACAAAAGCGTACCGGTGATAGCCAAAACCACGAATTCCGTACACAGGCAGGTACTTTATCGTCGTTTCAGCTGTAGTTTTACCTACTGATGTACTGTGAATATTAGACAACATCCAGTGGCAGATACCAGAATCAGCAAAATGCGAATCCAAATTGACTAGAGCCAGTGTGTAAAAACTGGAATCAATCACAGCCTTGCCGGCATTTATAGAGATGTGGTCAGGTGAACTTTCAGGCGAAATCAAGTCATCCAAACTCGCTTGACCATTGATGGCAGCAGTATTGATGGTAACAACAGGTGGAGTAGCGCCATATTGCGGCGGAATTAAATTACCACGATAAGACTTTTGACAAGCCACTTCGTCTTTGCCATTGTCGAAATAAAACTCAGCGTCAATTGGGACTAGCGGTAGAAATGAAAATATGGGCGGCTGTGAGCGCAAATCAAATTTGCTTTCATTCTTTGCATTTGCTTCAATTAAGCGCCGGTTGGTTTGAAGTGAAGTGGGAACACGATAAAAGAGGTCTCTATAGATCGCGAAATGATGGGCCATAGTGAGACTCGTGTCAAGGTGCTCCTTGGTAAAACTGTGAAGACATGACAGCTTTCGGTACTCTTCAGACGTTAAAGTGGCACTGCTTGTCTTATTATCAAGTTCTAGCGACAGCAATTCATCATCCTCGCCGTCCTCTTCGGAAAAGCGAAGTTTTTCATCAATGCCAGCACTATTTTTCATAAAATTAGCTACACACTGTGAGTCTTTTTCGTAGCCAATGTTCACCTCGTTAACTACTTCGTCGTAGTAGTTTATCCGCTTAAGTTTTTGCTGCAAAGTTGCATAGTAAGTAGGGGGTTTGTCGATGATTAGCTCAGGGAGTTTCGGGTTTGACACAGCACCTCTGCGTTTGTTGACAACCGCACTCTTGTGAAAAGCTCTTGACGAACTAAACAGCAATCTCAGTGGTAATCCTCGTCTCCAGAGTGTAATGGCAGTCGCTGATGAAATCATTTTGCCTAAACGGTTTGAATCCCGATTTTCAGATTCAAAACTTGATCAGACTTTCTGCAAAAGAAAAACAAATCGAGACATGGTCAGCGCCACTCGTTGATGACGTGACGGGAGTAATGAAATGTTTTTAAATTTTAACATCTTCTTTCAAGTAATTCAATTTAACTGGCTGCCAGTTACTTGCAGCCTTTTCATAATTTTACGTTTAAAAATTTATATTAAACAATTAAGATGCCTCCTGATGTCGTTCTCAGACCTGTAAAGGGATAATTTGCAAAGCTAAGCTAGTATTGTTTACTTAACAAATGACAGTAAACTACGGGTCTATGTCGTAGTTTCTACTGATTCCCACACAGTATATCAAAGTAACAGCCTTTTGATATCTAACTAACGCACTAATCACGTTTTCAACGCATACCAAATTGTATTGCCAAGGTGTCAGAAAACGTTTGTACGACTAAAGGAACGACAGACAGACGTTTGTCCAAGTTACGTCTTCTGCGAAAGGACTCACCATGTGTCGAGAGAGGAAGCGCACCAGAGGAAGAAGTGAGAAATAGTCGCTGCCTCAGTTTGTAGTGGTCCTTTTGCCAACACTGCTCCTCGGTGTTGCATCGTGTTCCATCTTTCTGCCGTGATTCCGGGAAACCATGAGGTGAGTGCTGCTCTTGGACCCATCTAAGGGGACCACTAAATACCCGTCGTCAATAAACATCAGCTCTGGAGGTTTCATGCCGCCTCAAATGTTCAGAACAAGCCGGCGAAACACCAGAACACTGATTTTTTATTTTCAACTTGTTTACTTGTAGCGACCAATACTTGACCATTTTTCCCTCTTTTTACTTCTAGTTCGTTGCGACTCCAGAAGCGTCTCGCTTCATCCGTGCTTAAGTGCGGCGGCAACAAGGTCTGGCTCGATCCCAATGAAAGCAACGAGATCGCCAACGCCAACTCCCGTCAGCATGTGCGCAAGCTGATCAAAGATGGTCTGATCATTCGCAAGCCTGTCGCTGTGCACTCTCGCGCCCGCGTCCGCCGCAACATCGAGGCCCGTCGCAAGGGCCGTCATACTGGCACTGGCAAGCGAAAGGGTACCGCCAATGCTCGCATGCCGGTCAAGGTGCTCTGGATCAGACGGATGCGTGTGCTCCGTCGTCTTCTGAAGAAGTACCGCGAGAACAAGAAGATCGACCGACACCTGTACCACGACCTGTACATGAAGGCGAAGGGTAACGTCTTCAAGAACAAGCGCGTCTTGATGGAGTACATTCACAAGAAGAAGGTCGAGAAGCTCCGTCAGAAACAGATGAGGTACGTACACTTTTACGCTGTCTATTTAAGTTGATACTAATTGAACTTTTCCCTTTCCCTTCCACAGCGACCAAGCCGAGGCTCGCCGACAGAAGGTGCGTGATGCCAAAAAGCGTCGCGAAGAACGACAGGCTCTCAAGCTTCAAGAGGCTCGCGCTCAGTACCTGAAGGAGGACTCTGAAGCTAAATAAAGTACTTTTTTGTATTTAAAACTCTAAAATAAATACGTTAACAACAGCGTAACAACCGAGATGCTTTAATTTATTAAAGATTAAGTAAAAAATGGTACTATAAAATATAAATAACCTAGCAACACTTAAGACGTAGATGAAGAGAAGAACAAACCAGACTGAGCAGCACTGGAAGAAGAACCAGCCCATGAAGGGCACCGATGATGACGATGCCGAGGTACATTCGAAAGTAAAAAACTTGGAATATTTTGGATGGCGAAAATGCGAGAATGATGATACCAAAGAACTTTGTCAGTGTGATGCCGGAGAGAACGGAGCTGCCCATCTCTGCCAGGCCTTGCTCGGCACGAGCCACATTAGAGTGCTCCTTTGACATGGTCACTGCTCGAGCAATGTGAGAACAAAACTCCACTGAAATGCCCACACACTGTAGAAGGAAAGGTGAATTGGTTAGTATCATTGGAAGAAGAGCCTTCAGACATTCCTACACAACACGTACCATGACTAGATTGACTAGGGAGACGGCATTCAGTGAAATGTTGGCCAGATACATCACACCCAACATGTGAATGACAATGGATATAATGGTGAGGACGATGGACAGAGCTGCGACCAGATTAAAGGAGAGGAAAACAAATGTGACCAAAAAGATAGCCAGCAAGGCGGCGGCAATGTTGATCAGTGAATCGCGCCAAATGGTGAGATACTGCTCGTAGAATACATAGAAGAAACTGTAAGGAAAGACATTGACTGGGGTCGTCGGGTGGGCCATGTCGTTCAGACTTTTCTTGATGTTGTCGGCTATCACACGAGCGTTCTTCAGCGCTTTAGTAAAGTCTTTTGAGTGCTGAAGAGGAAGGTGATATGTCATGTAGTAAGTGGCTGTATGAAGGCAAAGTGATGGATCAGAATTAAAAGTTGATTTAAGCTTGGCGAATCAGACTTACCAACTATCGGCTCTGGAGCTGAAGCGTTTGGCATGTTTATGGCGTGTAAATAACTTGGTCCGCCACTGAAAGCAAACAGTGCGTTAAAAAAAATTTCAAATTATTGAAAGATTGAAATGAATTACCCTTTACTACATTTGACAGTTGGATTGTCATGCAAGAAAAACTCCAGATAAGGATAGTAAAAATATGTTGGATCGATAAATATGCTACTACCAGGACCAATAAGACTGCCATCTGCACATGACGAGCAACTCGAACGATCTAGTAAATAAATGACAGATCAAGTTAGAATGAAAATCAGTTGTAAAGCAAATCGGCTTAAATTACTTGAAATAGTTGAAGGACAGAAGGTACCATTAGGGAAGGTTTGACAGCATTCCTCAGAAGAAGCCCAAGCGAGGTAATCATCTAGCCAGCTGTTTGGAGTGCTCTCAGCTAGGTAGCTGATCTTTGAGTTACTAGATGCTTCAGAGAGAATTTCAATAGCAGATCGTGGGTCACATGCTGCACTTCCACAAAAGAGAGTTTGTTTGTTAGCGTAGTCAAATCGCCCCTCAATCACAAAGTACACAGGCGGGNTTTGGCATGTTTATGGCGTGTAAATAACTTGGTCCGCCACTGAAAGCAAACAGTGCGTTAAAAAAAATTTCAAATTATTGAAAGATTGAAATGAATTACCCTTTACTACATTTGACAGTTGGATTGTCATGCAAGAAAAACTCCAGATAAGGATAGTAAAAATATGTTGGATCGATAAATATGCTACTACCAGGACCAATAAGACTGCCATCTGCACATGACGAGCAACTCGAACGATCTAGTAAATAAATGACAGATCAAGTTAGAATGAAAATCAGTTGTAAAGCAAATCGGCTTAAATTACTTGAAATAGTTGAAGGACAGAAGGTACCATTAGGGAAGGTTTGACAGCATTCCTCAGAAGAAGCCCAAGCGAGGTAGNAGATCGTGGGTCACATGCTGCACTTCCACAAAAGAGAGTTTGTTTGTTAGCGTAGTCAAATCGCCCCTCAATCACAAAGTACACAGGCGGGCCGACTTTGAGCTTGTTAATTTGAGCGTCAAAGAAGTTGAGCACATACGAATCGGAAGGCATTGAAAGCTGCTGTTCAAAGCCCACATCGACCTTGTTGACGACTGAGATCGAGAAACAAAGCGAGGCGGAAAAGAGTAGTATCTGAAAAAAGAGTAAGCAAAAATAGATATCTTTCTTCCAAAAATGATCTTTGACTCACCACAAAAAGCCGCGAAAACTTTTTCATGAGAAATGGGGCATATATTTTGCTGAAAAACCAGTAGAGGTACCCCTCCTTTTGCTCAGAGTCTTCACCACTCGATTCGGCGTCAGAGCTGTCCGAGTTCTTTTTTCCTCTAAAACAGCAGAAAATTTCCATTCGATTTTGGTCCAGTCTTCGAGCGTCAAACGCCAGAACCGGCACAAAGATGAGCATTTGAAAGAAGAATGCAATGAGCAGTGCAATGCCGGCGTTGAGAGCAAACACACGCACAGCAGGCATAGGCGTTATGGCTCCGAGGAAGAAGCACGAGGACTCTGCACAGGCAGCCAACAAAATGGACGGCGTAACGTAGGTCATTAGTCGGCGCATTCGCACCTGTAAGGCTTCATCATACGACAATGCTTCATGCTCCTCTTTTTCCAGCCTGATGCGTCCAAAATGCTGGACGAGGATGAAAATGTTGTCCACACCGACGGCCAGAACCAGAAAGGGTATCACCTCGACAATGATCAACGTCGATTTGACGCCGAGGTAGCTTAGTAGGCCAATAGAAGCAAGAACAGACAACAGCACAATGATGACTCCGCACAGACCGAGCATAATCTTTGAATCAATCTGAAATGGAATGAAATGCGTTTAGACCGATGAGAATACTGAATCACTGACATCACCAACTTACCAGGAAACGGCGCCAATTTTTAGAGAAATCGCCCAATGAGATGGTGACGTAGAAAAACATGACACAGTAGCTAATGGCCACCGTAGCAATGTTCGACTTGGACAGTCGAGTCAACTCGTCAGAAATGGACCGCTGTAAAGTTGGCATCATTTGATGTTAGATAAAGTGCAAAAGTAAAAGAAGAACAAAACGAAAACATACCTCAGCGTAGAAAGCGAGTGAAAATGACGAATCCGAATAGCTTTTGAGCAAGTTAAGGTACTCATACTCCCAACGAAGTGCATTAGCATTGTCCGCTTCCTTGATGGCATTGTTCAGCGTTACAGTGAAGACCAATGCTTTAGCTTCAGTGTAATTCTTCCCATCAAAGTCTCCTAGCGCAATGTGTGGAAAGACTGGGCCACCGTAAGGTGCCATGCAGCGCAGATTTAGACTGTCATTAAAGCTGGTCGGGTTTGCGATGCAGTTCAACATGTGATCCAGGTAATCAGTACGATTAATCCACTCGGCAGAGTTGTTGAACCAGCCCATGGCCGATTGCACCATGCAAATGTGGTTGTTCATGGGAGAGAAGCACAGGTCTTCAGTGTGAATGATGCGCGTGTCATTGCTTCCAGCCACCGTTCCATTGAATGAAATGCTCATAATTTTTGATTGCAACTTTAGAACAGCAAGCAAAAATGTCTGATTGAAAACCGGACCGTACGCCTTTCCGTTGTGTTCGACGTTCTCAAGGTACGTAGGAGTGATCACTATTGTCTCCGGGCGAAAGAACGGACCAAAGTTGTTGTCAAAGTAGTCCTTCTCGACACGCGCTCGACTAGTGGGCGTCGACCAGAGGGATATGGGGTCGGTGATGGGGTCAAAGAAGCGCACTCCAGTAGACAGTCCAATGGCCAGGGTGAGACCAATCAGTGGCAGGAGAAAGGAATACGGCGCCCTGGCGCAAATTGCCCCGTATGCACCGAATAGTTGGCCGAGAAAATTTTCATTGGCTGTCTCCGTTGCAATTCGCGCACGGTCCACTTTGTTCTGCGTCTGCTGCTGTTGCTGCTCCTCCTGCTCAGGCGGTGTATGCAAAAATCCATCTTCCTCTTGGCTAAAGCGTCTGTAGTACCAAACAAATGAGGCGACACTTGCGAGGAAAATGAGAAGATACACTACGGTCATTAGGACAGCCATGCCATCAATTCCAAACAACTTCCAAATGGTAGGGTCAACAGGCAGCGGTATCGGTGTGGGACAGCCAGCCGTGCAGTCGATGCAACTGCAAGGAATGTTCTGGAAGTTTTTCACAGCCTGCGAGCACTTGTAGACGGTGTTATTGTTGGGCACAATGGAGCTATCAGCTGGAGCACCGTCTTGCAAGAAATTGATTGCCATTGGCGATGTGCCCTTTGCGCCAATAGTTTGGAGGAAATAGGTAACATTGCATGTTTCGTTATTTGGCTTCTTGGAGCACATCACAGTGGGAACGACTTTGCCTGACGTTGATGGCATTTGAACTTCCATGCAAGAGTTGTAGACTCCACTTAAGTAGTGATTTGTCGAATAGTAATCCAAAGCAACGACTTGGTTTCCCTCTGTTGTGGTTTTATTTTCAGTTACGCGAATAAAGTCTCGTTGATTAGGGGAGCAAGTCATGAAGAAGAACAAGCGAGCAAAGTTGTAGAAACAAGATGGACATCGCTTAAAAAGCTGCTTTGGAGTTCCCATTTGATTCATAATCGCCGAAACCTGTTCATCATCACAGCAGTAGGAGTTCTCACTTGAATATTCAGGTAAATATGTATTTGTAATATTTAAACTTGATACATTTAATTGTTTGGGTGGCCCATCATATACGCAAGGAATTGGGAAACTGCCAAACGGGTTGATCACCACACCACATTGTCCTCGAAAAGAGCACGCTCCTTGGGCATGACTTGTTGATGTCTGTTAAAAAACCACAATAAATCAAATGATCAAAACGAATAGATAGGCAAATAGCTTACATTGATAATAAGTAAAACAACCAGTGTCCAGATGGACATTAAAGCCCACGTTTTGGGGAACATTGTGGAATGTACTGTAAATGCAATGGAATGAAAGAACTTGAAGTGTTACAGATTCATGTTAGAAGATATCACAATGGCAGAGATTGTCGAGTGAGCTTTCTGGTTTAGTGTGGCAATTTGAGAGTATGAACGCGACTATGAGATGATAAAAGTTGATTAAGTTTGAGCCTCCGGTTGAGTGGGTGAAAAGAAGCGCTGCAAAAGTTGTGCTGTACTTGGGAGAGACAGCGGATAAACGATGAGACTAAGTAACTGCTTCAAAGCATTAGAGGAGGTATTATGACTTGCGATATGTAAAACTAAAAGCAGTCAAAGTGAAGTACGACTTTGGGGAGAGAAATTGACGACGGCCGTTAAAGTTGTGATTGGATTGCTGTGATAATGGCTTAAATGGCTGCCACTGATAAATCAAACACCGCCACAATCAAAGTGCATCATTTGACCAACTAGTCACCGGCAGCTCGTTGTCTGTCTTCAAGTGTGTCTCACAGGTGATCATCGATAAAAGGTCCATCATTTTTAAACGCGGCACAGTTACTTTTCGGGGCAAAGGAGATGAGTGTGATCATGTCAGGTGATGGTCTATTTCGGTTTATAATCTCGAATTTCAAATTAGTGTAGATTGTATTGCTGCGTCACAACCAGAAACGGTGGCTTCTTTCGCGAGTATTGATCTTGCAAAGTTCAGTGCAATCACTTGTCAAGCGGAGAGCGGCGCATGTAAACAGTGGATGTAAACATTGAGACTGCCAGCTGATGGCGCAAAGAGCGTACGAGCTGAAGAGTCTCTCGCCAGACGAAAGTCTGCACTAGAGAGTGCCTTTAGTTGGTGAGCTACTCTCGTCCATTTTATAAGGCCTTCGTCGTGTTTACTACAAAACTGGCAACAGATCAGGTGTCGTACCTGGATACTCAGCGCACAAAAGGTTGGGAACCGGTGCTTCAAAGCTGTTGGGATGTGCTGATTAGGGCAAACACTATCGTTAAACCTTAACAAGACACTCTGGATTACTACACACTGAGGTCCAATGATCTTATGTTGGCACAAGTGTACACCTGTTTTTAGTATTGTTACAAAGGTGCACGAACAGTACAGTTACACCTAGAGCTGAGTGCAAAAATAAAAACATGTGATGATGATAATAATATTTATAGTGATGACAAAAGCGATTTACACAAAAGACACAAAATGAGACTTCCAACACATCTGCTGCTCATGCTTATTTTTAAAACCTCTTGCGCTTCAGCAGTTCAGGCTCCCATTGAACGGGGTGCGTCTCTTCTGAAGCAGTTTCGTCTTCCTTGTAGATTTTGATAGTTTTATCGGCCTCACCGGCAATCAGTCGGGAACTACTTTGATCAAAGGCAAGCGCAAATACGCCACACTCAGAGTCGATGGAGCCAGGCTGTGCTGCAGACTGCAAGCGTTGAAAGTTGTAGCCTGTTCGCCAGTCCCAAAAGTGCATAGACCCGTTGTCGCCACCAGAGACGAGCACGTTGTCATCGTTAACAGCCAGGGCGTTCACAATGGCATCATGACCATTTAAATTCTGAATGAAATTGCCCTCTGGAAGACGCCACTGTTTGAGTGAGTTGATTGAACCCGAGCAAAACATGCTCAGCTTTGGGTGCGAGACCATTGCTCGGACGCTCTTTTTGTGGTTCGTCAGTGTGGTAATGGTTTTGCCGGCGACTATGTCCCACAGTCGGACAGTGCTGTCGTGTGAGCCAGTAACCACTTGAGGGTCAACTGCTTCGCAGAAGATTGAGCCGACTGTATTGGAGTGGCCGCCCAGAGAATGAATCTGCGCTTTGGTTCGCATGTCCCATACGCGGGCCACTGAATCACGCCCGCCAGTAACGAGAATGTCTAAAGTTGGGTGCAAAGCCAGAGCGTAGACTGCAGATAGATGGCCGTGGTAGTGGCGAACCACTTTGTTGTACTCCAAATCCCAGCACTTGACGGTCTTGTCTTCACCGCAGGAGAAAAGGTACGGCTGGCGTGGCGAAACGGCAAGGCCACGAACGGGAGAGATGTGGCCGGTGAGTGAAAGTTTGAGTCGCCCCGAAGCAAGGTCCCAAATTTTGATGATTCGATCATTAGAGCCAGTGGCGAACCATTCGTTTCCAGGTTCGACGGTGATGGAGCGCACCCAGCCGGTATGGCCGGAAATGACGCGAAACAGCTTCCACGGTGCATGCCATTCAGGCTTTGGAATTGACACTGGCTTGCGTGGAGCAATACTGAGCCCAGAGGCAAGAACAATCTGTCCACTCTTTGCGGCAACTGATTCCGCAGTGTTGTTGTTGTTGTTGAGTCCTCCACCGGCGGCGGCGGCACCACCATTTGCAACGACAAGTGCACTATTGACTGGGGTCGGCAGTTTAGCCTTAAGTTCATCAATTGGAGCGATGGCACTTTTATGTTGCCCTCCTGCAAGTACCAGTGCTTTTGAAGTTGTTTTGCTGGACTTCTTTTCACTCTTTCGCAGCAAATTAGCAGCCCCTTCTGGCACTAGGTGCATAACAGACCCGTATTGATCTTTTGCTTTGATTGAACTTCGAAAGGCGTTCATCTTTTCATCAAAAGGCGGCAAATGCTTCATATCGCTAATAAACATTTCATGAGTCCGTTTCAGCGAACGAAACACAAGGGTGTGAATTGAATGTTCCTGAACCTCATCGAGATTATCTTCAATCACTTCTGTTTTCCTTTCATTTTCACCGGCATTTTGGCCAGGAGCCTGCTGCTGGGTGGTTGCTGATGGTGCTCGGATGGATGGCCTATGAGGAGTGGACATGTAGTTACGAGCGCTTCGCACGGGAGTAGTATCAATGTCCATTTTGGAGGTTGTTTTTCTGGTTGAAGAGCGTGATGCAAGAAGAAACCCGGCAATATTTCTTCGCAAAATCACATGCACAACAAAAAAAATCTCACGACCAATCTGTACATAGAGTACGTTACCAATTTAATTTTGACATCAATTTTATTACTTCGGATTATTGAAAACGAGACAACAACTGACAAGGAGGAACGACACCCTCTTCGGTGATAATGCCACCGGTAATTAAACTGGCTGGCGTCACATCAAAAGAAGGATTCCAACAGGGCATTTCTGCTGGGGCAATCTGCACAGTGCCCACAAAACGCATTTCATTTTCAGGTCGCTCTTCAATGGGAATCAATGAGCCGTCCTTCTTGGTAAGATCCAAAGTGGAAAGAGGCGAAGCGACGTAAAATGGCACGCCAAAGTGCTGACAGAGAATAGCAATTTGGAATGTGCCAATTTTGTTGGCCGTATCACCGTTGGCGACCACTCGATCCGCTCCGACCACCACTGCATCGATCTGACGGGATGCCATGAGCGATGCCACCATGTTGTCGCAAATCAGAGTGCTCGGAATGGAATCAGTAAAGAGTTCCCATGCGGTAAGGCGAGCGCCTTGGTTGTAAGGTCGAGTTTCCGTGCAGAATGCTCGCTCCAGCTGTGCTCGCTTGTGCAGTGACCGAATGACTCCCAAGGCAGTGCCGTAACCGGCCGTGGCCAGGCTTCCAGTATTGCAGTGAGTGAGGACGTTCACCTTACTTCGACCCTTCCTAGAGGCACTTTGAAGGATGTGTTCAGCGCCGAAATCGCCAATGCGCTGGTTTGTTTGGATGTCAATCTCCAGAGCTTTGATGCAGTGCTCGCACACAAAAGTGATCAGTTCAGCAGCGTTCTTTTCTTTACTGGCAATAAGAGTGTCCACAAGTCCTAGCAAGGCGGTGAACTCTTTGCGAATATTGACTGCTGTTGGGCGAGATGTACAGAGGTAGTTGGCCTGAAAAGAAGCGGTTTATGATCACGGTTCTGACATGGACCTGTTCAAGGTACCTTTGTTTTGAGAAACTGAGCCAGCTTTGTTGGATCTTTAGCCAGCTGCTCAACGGTGGCTTTATCTCCCAGTTCAACTGCCACGCTGAGAAGACCGAGAATTGCAATTGCTGGCGCTCCTCGAACCTTCATCTGCTTGATTGCATTCCATGCGTCTTCGGCATTTTTTATCTCTTCATACTCAACACTGAGTGGCAACAAAAGCTGATTTAAAATGCGCAGCGAATTGGTGCTTCGGTCGTAGATCATTGATTCAGCCATTTGTGTGACCATGTTTACCACTTGCAGCGAGAGAAAAGCAGCAGCAGAGAAAGTGAGCGCCAAGCACTAAGCAGTACTCTGAGAAGACTGACTAAAAGTAGAGCTGCACTCTGACAGAGTTTTTTACGTTTTTATCAGTAAATGTGCCCGTTTTCGAGCCTGATATGATAACATTGATTATGAAAAGACAGATAAGCAAACTGATACAAATAAAGTTTGTTAGGTATACATAATAAATTGAGACAAATGTACTTCAGTTCTAAGCATTTTATTCGGAAAAGAGGGATTATTTGGCAAATACAAAGGATATTGTAGGGAAGTCAGTGGAAGTTTGAGAAGAAAATCGTTTATTCGCCTTTTGGCCGTAAAATTTAAATCGAATAATAATGAAAAAAATTAAGAATGATAATGAAATAATAATAAGGAAACAATAACGAAATAAAAATAAGAT